GGGGGGGGTGGGGTGTGGAAATCAAGTATCAAATGATGTAAAATCCATGAGGGAAAAGCAAGGAAGTGGACAAATACACATTTTCTGTCAGTGAGCCTACAAGGGCAGCATAAGGAAGACGCAGTCTCACAATTTTTGAATGGAAAGCAAAAAAAATATTGCGTAGCCAGCACACGGACTGAACCCAAGGGCTGTCAGAGCTGTTGCTGCTGGTCTTTACTTCTCAGGAAAGAAATGGGCTTTGCACTGCATGGCTGCTACTTGGGTAAGTCCTTTTGGGCAGGGTAGCATCCTGAACTCCAACCCCACGCATTCACTGTCTCGAGTCAGGAACAGCTGGAAATGACATGTAGAGGAAATGTTTAAAATTTATTTCACAAAATCAATTTAGATTGAAAAAGATTTCTGAGATCGAGTCTGACCAATGACCCAACACCACCATATCAACTTGACCATGGCACCTGGAGGATTTTGGATTCCCATTAATTCCTTCAGTTGTTCTATAACAAATTGTTTCTCAAGTGCCAATAAGAAATAGAGAACGGAGTCTTAAATTGCAGCCAGTGGAGGTTCAGTTTGGACATTGGGAGGAATTTCCCCATGGAAAGGGTGATTAGACATAGGAAGGAGCTGCCCAGGGAGGTTTGGAGTGCCCATCCCTGGAGGTGTCCAAGGAAGGCCGGGATGTGGCACTCAGGGCTCTGGACAAGGTGGGGATTGGTCACAAGTTGGACTCGGTTATCTCGGAGGTCTTTTCCAACCTCAGCGATTCTGTCACCAGCTGTGACAAAGCGGTGTTCTCCACGGCTGTTGCCTGGCCACGTGCCATCGCACGGAGGATTTTTGAGGGACTATTCCCACAGGAAACTCCGATGTCCGTGTACCCCGCACCGCGGTGCATGTGGAGCCACGGGGAGGGAGGATGCTCTCGTTTCCACTCCACAGCGCTCTGCACGTTACCGCCGGCGACCCAGGCGGATGTTTGGCTCGGGGAAGGTCGCGGGATGCCGAGGGGTCCTGGGGCCGTGCGGGAAGAAGGGGAGCGGGAAGGGCCGGGCCGGGCACCGCGGAATCCCCACCGGGGGTCCCGCGGGACCCGCCCTGAGGGGCC